ACGAATCTATGAGGGCCTTCAAGTCACTGAAAGCATATGAAATGTGGAAAGTGGACACGTTTATCCCATACCACAAAGTCGACGACAAGTCACCTCTGTGTTTGATGAGAACAAAGGTTATTCCTTCTCAGCGCCTACGTGAGAAACCACACCAGCCATGGGTCTGCATCAACAAGGCACATGGAACAGTGTACTGTGCACATTGCACATGTATGGCATGGTATGTAATTATATCTGTTACGAAATAATAAATCATCTGAGTTTATTTTGTATAGTTTAATTTTAACTGTATTTTAAAACCTGTTAACTATCTATTTGTCATAATACTAAAATTATAATTTTTTAAAGAAAATATGTAAAAAAAACCTATTTGTCACATTTTTATACATCATTATAATTTTTCAGACTAGGGGGGTGGGGTGGGGTGCAGTCACATAGCAGCACTGCTGTTTAAGGTGGATATGGCAGTGCGAGCTGGACTTACATCAAAGGCATGCACAAGTGATGCCTGCAAGTGGAATTCTGGAACATATGTGGTATGATGACAACGAAAAAGTAGACATTGTTTGATATACATAGAACATATTTAATTTGGTGTGATGACAGAGTAGAAAGTAAATTGTTTGATATGCATAGAACATATTTGGTATGATGACAAAGAAGTAAATGTAAATTGTTTGATATGTATAGAAGATATTTGGTGTAATGACAGAGAAGAAAATGTAAATTGTTTGAAATGTATAGAAGGTATTTGGTGTAATGACAGAGAAGAAAATGTAAATTGTTTGAAATGTATAAAAGATATTTGGTATGACAGAGAAGAAAGTGTAAATTGTTTGATATGCATAGAACATATTTGGTATGATGACAGAGTAGAAAGTATTTTTGATATGCATGATGATGAAAGAAGAAAGTGTAAATTGTTTTAAATATATAGAACATATTTGGTATGATGACAAGAAGAAAGTGTAAATTGTTTGATACATGTAGAGCATATTTGGTGTGATGACAAAGAAGAAAGTGTAAATTGTTTGATACATGTAGAGCATATTTGGTATGATGACAAAGAAGAAAGTGTAAATTGTTTGATACATGTAGAGCATATTTGGTGTGATGACAAAGAAGAAAGTGTAAATTGTTTGATACATGCAGAGCATATTTGGTGTGATGACAAAGAAGAAAGTGTAAATTGTTTGATACATGTAGAGCATATTTGGTATGATGACAAGACAAGTCACTCCGAGTCCCCGTGGCGCGATCAGTACAATTACGCCACATATAGACATGGGGGAAATGAAACGTAAAGTGACTACGAGAACTGAGAGTGGGAAGCGTGTTACACGCTCATTTGGATGGCAGGTGTGTAATTAAGCTTACAAAAACTAACAAGTGTACAGTCACTTACAGAATTTTTCTTCATATGCTATGAATTCTTAATGCATACAAACTGAATAACCCATGCCTGGAGTCACAGACGAGATTAAGTAAGTACCCCACGTGACATGACCGTGGCCAGCATAACTGCTACAGAACTTACATTGTATTCCCGTGCGTCTGCCAATGTGGGCACAGTGCGCTGGTAAATAATCGACAATGAATATTAAGTAGTGTCATGCATAAATTGTACTAAATATGGTAGGCACAGCAACATCATCCACCACGCCCCTTGCTTTTCACGACGTAAAGAGAGGGCAGAGAGTGAAAGAAGGGACTGGGGACACAGAAAGGTCGGGGGGGGGGGTTATTTAATTTTATTAGGTTTTTGTTGAAGATGTACCACAAGTCTATATTCGTGTAAGATATATGAATCGGGAAACTGACAATTGAAACACTAATTCTCAGGGGAGGATTTGTTATACGGCAAGGAATTCAAAGGGCTCCATCCGTCACTTGTTCCTCCACGGTGGCAGATGTCGGGATATTACCCGCTATAGAAACCACCCACTCCATGTATTGTTGGTCTAGCCCGGCATTCAGTGTCCAATGGTGCATGCAAAATGGTGTTTCTATTTTAGTTTTTAAAACTGCGAAGACAAATATCACTCAAAGACTTAAATATGTTCAGTTGGGTCTTCACTCCAGCTCTTTACAAGCTGCAAGGGCGAATGTCCTTGATAAATTCGTCTTCACACCAAGTAATAGTCCGCCCAAAATAGTTTTCGAATGCTCGACAAATTCGTGTTGGAAGACAAAACGAGACTCATGTGGTTCTGAGTACCGATTTGTCTTCATCTTGCATCAGTAAAACACGTGCTTAACGATCGCCAATTCACCCGAGTTAAGTACGCCAATTTTACACAAAACCTACATTATCTACTGTCGGAATGGAGAAAATTGTCCTCTGTCAAGTTGCATTTAAATAAGTGTTCGAAGCGTGACAAATTGGCGCATCAATATTTCATTACCGAGTACTGGCAACTATTGATCGCACGGGGAGTTGTGTGACTGCACTCGAACAGCTCGACTATGACGTTAAGATGAGTAAACCCTGCACATGTCCTACCTGTTAAAGGTAGAAATTAGAAATACCATAGCGTTCGTAAACACGCTTAGCCTACAGAGAGTTCTGTTTCAACATTTTTGCATTCATTCCTGCAGTACGCCAACACGTAGAGGGGGATGCACAAGTAACTTTCTATTCTTAAATGAGTGAGTGAGTGAGTTAAAAATTAACGTCAGTTCGGCAATATTTCAGCCATATAGTGACGACAAAGGTTGTACATACACAATGAATACAAGTAGTTAAATAACCAGTCATCGGCGGATTGTAAAATAACTGGAGTATCACAAAAAGAGTTAAAACTAACCAGCATATATCTTTAAAAGTAGAAACATATTTTGGACAATACAATGTAACAATGTAACAATCGCCAACAATTGAAGGTAGGTCACTATACCAGGGCCCATGGGGACTTAATCTATTCTTAAAGGCTGATGGAGGACAGTTATTGTTTTCATGGAGAGTTACGAGAATATTCATCTCCTTAAAACACATCCCTACAAAACATAGTCTTGTGGATAAACATATTAAAAGTAATAAATCAGAACTGTTTGTACCTTGTATTGACACTGTGTAAGTTTCCCTTGCTTTGATGCACGTGAAGTACGTTTCCTGTCGCCGTTGCACGTGCACCAACGTCCATTATGAAATTATTTATAATACTTGGAGTCCTTATTCTCGTAACGTTCGTAGCACTAAGAATTCTTAAACAATGGACTCAAGAAGTTCGTAGGGCTACGAACGTTTCGAGAATAGCTAGCCTGAACTAGTATTTGCCCAGTCGTGTACATGCCGGCGGACATAATGATATATATATGCACCACATTATATAAGTATTATTTCTGGAGGTCTCAAGGATTGTGCACATGTTCGACAATTCTCACCGATTCATTATACCTTTTTGCCGACATGTGTCGCTGTAGCAGAGATTGGTTATTAGACGTCCTCAAACCAAACGATGTGGATTCGAACCCAGTTCGATCAAACTTGACGCACTTGTCAGGGTATTAATAGAATAGTTCCGTCTATTCCAGGTGAGAAATATTTGAAATGCTGGTGGAATGTTTATAATTATCAAACACATGTCCATTCCTTACAAGTAAACAACAGAATGTCGCCACAGAGGCGATCAGATATCCCGACGGTTATCATATGCTACATACGAAGGTGTTATCGTATATATGTCACGCTATACATGGACGAATGTGTTTAGACAACGAAGAGGTCACCTTTATGTCTTTTATTTGACTAGGGGGTTATCGTATACATACCATAGACGAAAGGGTTATATTCATATTTTGCAAAGGGTTATCTTTGATACTGTGGACGCAAGTACAGTGTGCACGGAGGTCCTCTGTCACTATGGACGAGAGGGTATCTTACAGGTTAGCAGACGGTTGGTTGGTGTGTTGTTTAACGCCGCACTCAGCAATATTCCAGCTATATGGCGGCGGTCTGTAAATAATCGAGGCTGGACCACACAGTCCAGTGATCAACAGCATGAGCATCGATCTACGCAGTTGGGATACGATGAGATGTGTGAACCAAGTCAGCGAGCCTGACCACCCGATCCCGTTAGTCGCCTTTTACGACAAGCATGGCTTACTGAAGATCAATTCTAACCCGGATCTTCACGGGAGACAAGCATGAGTTGCTGAAAATCAATTTCTAACCAGGATATTAACCAGAAGAAAGGAAATAAACAACTTGTAGCGCGAATATATAGTATTAATATGGTGAAAAAGTATGTGTTCCATTCTGATATTCATCATATACCACAGAACACATATAACCACTGTTTACCCATGCACTGAGGAACTGATGGCACGTGGACATACAGCCACGTGTATCAAATGTCAGTGGACCACAACTTGATTCGTGGCCGGAAATACCCCTTCTACGAAGAAATGAAAACTTAGACGGAAGTTTGTACTGCAGCATGTTTTGTCAGCACTGACAGTAAGCCCTATCCATTAGAAAACACTTAACACGCCATGTTGTAGAGTATTTCAGGGTTTGGGGACGTCAGAATGTAACTTCACCCAACCTGTTGTATTATCTTTCCTTCCCTAAAGCAACAAACTGTTGAAGTAACTATTTATACCTTGATTCTGATAACCATGTTTGTTACACTACACGCTGGGGATGTTCGGGAGCAAGTGACTGCATTTAAAATATCCCATTGACCGAACCACGTGAGCTGTACGGGGATTATTATCGTGTGCGATATATTGATTGCATTGTAAGGACGAATATAACATTCTTAAATGTTGCGCTAACTCATCCATCGAACATATCAATGGCTTTAAGTTCATTCGAAATATCAAGTACATACTTCAAAGGACGTGAAGCAAGCAAATGTATTATTTCTATGTAAAGGTCATCACGACTCGATGTTGAACAGAGCGCTCAGCCATGGGGATCGCACAGGCAGGGCATCCTCAGTAATCACACGCCTCATCAAGTTTGTTGCGCTAAGACGTTTCCCAGTGTGACCTACCTGCACGAGAGCACGCTGATATAGGCTGGTGAACAGCAGCTGTAAGATATTCCATGACTGCCAGTGGGCGAACACCATCTGTAGACAAGACAACACAGGCTACAATCACGGATGTCACACCCCGGAAATGGACATCAAACGTTATAGTATGCAATGTACATTTACACGTTCATAATCAGGCAATTCGATGCTTGTGAAATCGACAATCATTATGTAGTCCAGGGCTAGGCTCCTCCCTTGAAGTGTTACCGGTAGTGGACGGATTGGAACGTGTTTGCGCTTTTGATGAAATACGTTTGATGTAACCGGTCACGGATATCATTCTGTTTGTGTGACGGCTGTGACAGGATACGCTCACCTTTGTGCGGACACCTGGTGTCAGGACTGTTTGATGGTGCGTAGCATACACATGACTGTCATATAGTCGGAATGATGCAAAAGACTGTGATTGCAGCAGAGATATTTGTGGCGTGTATAATAATCATAAACATTGCAGTTGTTGCTCTTATTTTTCACAAAAGAAACTACACGAACACTGTTCATGTATGGCATTAACTTGGCGACCAGGACCATTACACAGTAGAAAGGTAGCTGTAATTGTCAAACAGCATGCTTATTTCCGGGACACGGTCTTGACTGAAGATTCGTAAGTTGGTTGATCCGGTTTGACTAACTGGATACCAAGATGTAGGTAAACCAGAAGTCGATGTAGGATACCAAGATGTAGGTAAACCAGAAGTCGATGTAGGATACCAAGATGTAGGTAAACCAGAAGTCGATGTAGGATACCAAGATGTAGGTAAACCAGAAGTCGATGTAGGATACCAAGATGTAGGTAAACCAGATAATAAACCAGAAGTCGATGTCGATGTAGGATACCAAATGTCGATGTAAACCACCAAATGTAGGTAAACCAGAAGTCGATGTAGGATACCAAGATGTAGGTAAACCAGAAGTCGATGTAGGATACCAAGATGTAGGTAAACCAGAAGTCGATGTAGGATACCAAGATGTAGGTAAACCAGAAGTCGATGTAGGATACCAAGATGTAGGTAAACCAGAAGTCGATGTAGGATACCAAGATGTAGGTAAACCTGAAGTCGATGTCTCATGAGCACAATGAATTGTACACTTGGGAATTCTCCAGTATCTATATTTCAGTCTGGATGTAAGTGGCGATCGTTAACAACCTTGATCGTCTAATTCCTGCAGATAATGTCACGTCACAGTCTATACTTTCCTAAAAAGGCAAACATTACAGAAAATGATAGTTACATGTACAATGATTGACTTTCTCACTTTCCTCATAAAGTGTTTCAAACGAAACACACAGCTTTAAGGAAAACCCGACTGTTTCCAACGCTATAATTATATTGGCATCAGGCTCCAGTTAAACTGTTTTGCTGCATTTGTGTTTGAAAAAAGTGAAACACCGGAGTACGTTATTGTGGAATTACTGACTAAGTATCTCATTGCTCGCTTCGCAAACCATCGCAAATGTCGACATAGAGAACACGACATTTACTCACCAAACTTAAGTCTTTTAAGACATTATATTCACCATATACAAGTAGTTCGTGAGATTATATTCACCAAATACAAGTCTATCGAAACACTATATTCAGCAAATACAAATCGTTCGAGACAATATATTCACCAAATACAAGTCGTTCAAAACATTATATTCACCAAATACAAGTCTATCGAAACATTATATTCACCAAATACAAGTCGTTCGAGGCATTATATTAACCAAATACAAGTCGTTGGAGACATTATATCCACCAAATACAAGTCGTTCAGGACATTATATTCACCAAATACAAGTCTATCGAGAAATTATATTCACCAAATACAAGTCGTTTGAGACATTATATTCACCATATACAAGTCGTTCGAGACATTATATTCACCAAATACAAGTCTATCGAAACATTATATTCAACAAATACAAGTCTATCGAAACACTATATTCACCAAACACAAGTCGTTTGAGACTACTTTGGCATAGTTTAGTAGTCTTCTATATACGACATTCTAAGTAGAAACGACACGTGTCCTTAAGCTGTTGTAGCAATATTAGCTGTTTTACTGACAATGACTACACTTATTTGTAAACGTGACATCCTTCAACTACATTTGATTGTCGCTTGGTGAAAATTTGATTGTCGCTTGGTGAAAAGAAGTGTTTGTGACACCTGTCCGTTCTGCCGTGAATTCTACTTCTAGTACTGACGGTGTGAACGTTTTACCATTATCACACAGGCTGGCAACAAACGTATCAGTCTCCTGCTAAGCAAGTTACATGTACAAAGTTTGCTGTTGTAATCGATGGCAAAATATTTGTATTTCTTCTTGTTTTTGTTTTTCATGAGGCTATAAAACAAACAAATCACTTTGGGTATCTGGCGCAATATGATCCCTTGCTTTTAATGTTGACAGTATAGAATATCATAGGGGTTCTTTTCGATCTACAGACAATCATCAATACACGTGTAACGGAAATGTTTATTTTTTATGAAAGTTATAACGTCAACTATTTCCCTTCAATAGTTTGAATTTACAATATCATCATGTAAAGACCAAACCAGTTAAACGATCTATATAGCATATGTTGTAAAATTGCAAACAAGTATGTCTGTGGTTTCAGTTCATTTTCCCCTTTCCAGAAATTAGGCTCAGTTAAAGATTTGGTAATGCTGCAATATTAGGAAAATAGTACACGTTAACCATTTCATCTTGTAGTTTTGACACATTTCGTCACATGGGTTATGATTCCGTTTACTAAATTCTTATAAAATGATATCAAGACTTTAATCAAAATATTGTGGCCCTGTGATCACCGCTGTGCTGCGTCACTCATGCCCTTATCAAAGGCGAAGGATAAAAAGGTAGCATTGTTATATTTAAATAGACTGGTATTTACCCTAATTGGAAGGACAATTAATCATGATGACTGCATTCTGACTAACAATTTGCAGAAGATCAGAGTCGACGTAATCAGACTGTAATTAGTCACATCTGCAGTGAGTCAATCACAAACAGCTGATAAGTATGTCGTTACTGCACCGTCAGCATCTCCATGATGCGCTTCGATAACTTACCGTTATGTTCCAACGTCCATCAATAATTACCTACACGGTTCGATGCACCCTCATCGCCTCCCACAGTAACGAAATGCAGTAATTGATGCTACTTAAAGTGCAGTCATCGCAGGAATATATCAGATGAATATGTATCAGTTGCTGAATTGGCATATGTGCATTGCTACTGCTGACCAACTGACCAGAGCGCGGGCTTCACGTCAGCTGTCTCTGTCAATATCATATGACACATTTCCCCAGTAACTATCAATACTGCAAGTTTAGGAGCTGTTGAGACTGCTGACAATCGGTTCACTATCTGTCTCTGCATGGTGGCCCATCAATACAGTCAATATTAACGCATTAAGGGTGATCAGTTTCAAATCAGTTGGATCATTATCAACGTACAAGAAAGGCTGTCAGCCATTCAGTAGTTGCATACATGTACAGCATTAAATGTAGCTGCTTTTAACTTTTATTTGCCGTATGCATGTTCAGCAAATAAATGTGTTATTAAACTTATTTTACAGTTAAAAGGCATTATCTTTGTAAATTAAAGAGATAAATCTCTTTCAATAATGCTGGGAAATCTCTGCTGAAAGCAGAATTCTTGTCTCGTTGTCCATTCCGTCTGGATACTTAACATGTGCTCAAAGAGTCTATCTATACCAGGTGGTCCCGAAAAGGTGAACGTATACTACCCTACCGGTTGCCTTTGTCACAAACACATGGTGGGGCAAGTCAATTGTTCACCTGAAAAATCACAGGACCATAATATTCAAGTTAAAATAAGGAATTGCATGGGACATTGATTTTGTCACTATACTTCCAGAACATACAATATCCAAACCGACGTCCTGTTCCACCAGGTATAGAATAAACGGTGCTACAATGAGTATTCCTGAACACTGAGAGACAATGAATTGAATACGACCATTGTCCCAATCCCCTCAGCTGAAGCCACTCACTGCATATCGAGGCAGCTCCGTCATCATCAATACACAAATATCATCCAGGGGCATCTCTGTCAACCAGCTCCAGCATGACAAAAGCCTTGAAGCAATTTACAGTACAACATAGTGGGACCTAATCATAACCTGACGAATCTGACCAAAGTAATTGTACTTTATGTTGCAGAGAGCGTGGTAATCTATACTCACTGGGCAGCTTCTGCAGAGCTTGCCGTGCGTTGTGTTCTTGTGTTTGTATCTGCACAGCATCGGGTGATTACTAGCATACCTAATAGGGCAATATCCCAATTGTTGCTTGCTTCTAGGTTTTACTGGGTGTGTTAAGTGGAGTTTCACTCCATAGAGCTTTCAAGCAAAGGCGGTAACGACCCTTTGTATCTGATCTTTTGAATGAAGTATTCTGTTCTGATTCGTGTGAGATATTGGAACACGGTGGCAGTAGGCTGACTGGGTGCTGTCAGCTAGGACCACGCCAACAGAACATTGCTACATTGAGCGTGACTCATGACACTACATGTACACTACAGGCCTGGGGTGCCACCTATATACACTGCAGGTCTGTGGGGGCACCTATGTACACTACAGGCCTGGGGGGTGCCACCTGTATACACTACAGGCCTGGGGGGTGCCACCTGTATACACTGCAGGCCTGTGGGGGCACCTATATACACTACAGGCCTGGGGGGTGCCACCTGTATACACTGCAGGTCTGTGGGGGTGCCACCTGTACATACTGCAGGTCTGGGGGGTGCCACCTGTATACACTGCAGGCCTGAGATGCCACCTGTATACACTACAGGTCTGTGGGGTGCCACCTGTATTCACTGCAGGTCTGTGGGTGCCACCTGTATACACTGCAGGTCTGTGGGGTGCCACCTGTATACACTGCAGGTCTGGGGGGTGCCACCTGTATACACTACAGGCCTGGGGGGTGCCACCTGTATACACTGCAGGCCTGTGGGGGCACCTATATACACTACAGGCCTGGGGGGTGCCACCTGTATACACTGCAGGTCTGTGGGGG